TAAAATTGGTTTATCTTAAATATTTGGACAAAAAATCAATAATTATTTCAAGTATTTTTGGTATTTGGAGTATCGTTTAGCTATTTTAAAAATGTACATTCAACTATTTTATATATTTCTAAGTATTTTTGAAAATTTTAAAACATCTCATGTATTTTGTATATTTTTAGATGTTAAATTTTAAAATAATTAATATATTTAAGTATATAAATCTAGTTCGAGTACACTCGGATACCCGAAATATTTCGATTCAGTTTCGATTATCTAGGTATCAAAATTTTGAATCCGTTTGGATATCTAACCACTTTGGGTTAAAGATTTGTACTACTTTTTAGACTAGATTTGGTTCGGTTATTTGGATTCAGTTTTTTTTGCCCAATCATATTTTTTTACTGTAACAAAATTTTAAATGAAAGAGATGATGGTTCATATTGATTTTTGGTATGCAACAATTTTTAAACCAAAACACACTCTATTATGTACGTGATCCATTTAGTAAATCATTAAAAAAAAATTAAGAGCCATTAAAAATGATTGGGTGAACTAAAAAACGTTACTGTTGATCACAAAATTTTCAATGTGATAATTTTTTCTTTTTAATAATTTATGGTTGTTTTAACAAAAACTAAATAGAACATATGAGAAAAAATCTAAATTAATTTTTTTACTATATGATTAGTATGATTGTTTCATTTTTTGTAATACTATAAAATTAAATAAAAAGTAAAGAGGATAAAAAATAGTTATCAAATCTTTATTGTTCATAATTATTAATTGTGATATATATATGTTAATCATATTAGGTAATTCTATAGTTTTTATTTAAGGAAATAATATAGAATATTCTTTTGTACACTACAATAAAATATGATATTTAGTTTAGTAAAAATATAACATATGGTTAGTTTGACCAACATATTTCTCTAAGAATTCTGAAAATTATTCTCATTGTGACATGTGGTTATAAAAAAAATGTTGTAATGCTCCATGATCAATATATTTTGAGTATTTCTAGTCAAATAAGATAAGTTTCCTTTATAGTGTTTCCATTCTAAGTAATATATTTTAGAAAAAATCTTAAGAATTAATCATTTTACACTTTCCATAGTCTCATAAAACATAATGCTAAATAATCACATATTTTTAGCCACGTTGAATAGAAAAGGAGAAAAAAACTATTGGCATTTATCGATAAATAATAATACCAAATGTCCATCTTGTCTATAAAAGCGAGATTGGTCCTCAGATCACAAGACAATTCAGAAGCATCTCTTTCAAAAGCCTCAAACACCTCTCAAACTTTCCTTCAGAAAAGAGATTAGGCAGAAATGTTCATCGAAAGCTTCAAGGTTGAATCTCCAAACGTGAAGTACACAGAGAATGAGATTCATTCAGTGTACGACTACCACACCACTGAGCTTGTTCATGAGAGCAAAAACGGCGCGTATCAATGGACCGTGAAGCCAAAAACGGTGAAATATGAGTTTAAGACCGACACTCATGTTCCCAAACTTGGGTTTGTCTCTTCTATAAAACCTTCTTTCTCTTATAGTAATATTCATGCTTCTTTTATCATTGTATCATAGGGTTCATATTTTTTTCTTATATTGTTTGTAAACGATGCTTTTGCTTTGTCTAAATCTATTATCGCAGAGTGATGCTCGTTGGTTGGGGAGGGAACAATGGTTCTACTCTTACCGCTGGTGTTATCGCCAATCGCGAGTGAGTAAAACTTTTTATTCTTGATTATTCACTGACAAAGTTAATTGTTGTTGTTCTTTAGTTATAAAATACTAATGTTTCAAATGGGAATAAAGTTGTGTGTGTCTTATTGCGAGTGGATTAATAAATTAATTCATATTCCCGCAACTGGATACAGTTTTATTCTTTTGTATGCACAAGTTGGGATTTATTCTTTAAATAACAAAAATAAATAAATCAATTGGTGGCAGGGGAATATCCTGGGCTACGAAGGAGAAAGTGCAACAAGCTAATTATTTCGGGTCATTAACCCAAGCATCCTCTATCCGGGTCGGGTCATTTAATGGCGAAGAAATCTATGCTCCGTTCAAAAGTCTTCTCCCCATGGTACAATATACTTTGTCTTTTTTTCTTTAAATCACTTACATATTTTAAATGTTTTACATAACAAAAAAAGTGAAGTGTTATTTTACTAGATTTCAGGCAAATAAAAATTAATAAAAAATAATATAATATAATAAAAATGAAATAAAATAAGAAAAAATAAATAATAATATAATAAAAAAAGATTTTAAGCAAAAAATAATACGTTTTATATTTTATAACATAGTGTAATACTTATTCTAAGAAAGAGAAAACAAACAAAAAATAATATTAATGGATTCTGAATATGATAGGTGAATCCGGAAGAAATAGTGTTTGGGGGATGGGACATCAGCGACATGAACTTAGCAGACGCTATGGGACGAGCCAAGGTCCTAGACATCGACCTCCAAAAGCAGCTGCGTCCGTTCATGGAACACATGGTCCCCCTCCCTGGAATCTACGACCCAGATTTCATCGCAGCTAATCAGGGATCACGTGCCAACCACTTGATCAAAGGCACCAAGAAAGAACAGCTAGAACATGTCATCAAGGACATCAGGTAACATAACGGTTTATGTCTACCATTTGCAAATTAATTTTAGTCATTATTCATTAGTATATGCAGTTTGTCCAAATGAGTGCATATTCAAGGATCTAAAAAACGAAGATATAGCATGATCGTACAATAAAAGAAAATTCATTGTTTTACAATCAGGGATTTCAAAGAGAAAAACGAAGTGGACAAAGTGGTGGTGCTGTGGACAGCAAACACAGAAAGATACAGCAATGTGGTGGCTGGTCTCAACGACACGACGGAGAATCTCATGTCATCTTTGGACAAGAATGAGGCTGAGATTTCTCCTTCTACACTTTACGCCATTGCTTGCGTTCTTGAGAATGTTCCTTTCATCAATGGAAGCCCACAAAACACTTTTGTCCCCGGTAATTTAATAAGCTATAGATAATATTAACCATAATCACTTTCCTTTAGTTAATAATAATAAATACATTAAAAATGTACATTACAGGACTGATTGAATTGGCAATCAAGAGAAACAGCTTGATCGGTGGTGATGACTTCAAAAGTGGTCAGACCAAGATGAAATCTGTCCTTGTCGATTTCCTTGTCGGCGCTGGAATCAAAGTATATAATAATTATAAAGTTTCTTAAACATTTACATATATCCTAGTTAGGCCTTAGTGTTACAAAATGAACTGATTCATTTATGTACGAATATAATATAGCCAACCTCGATTGTGAGCTACAATCACCTTGGGAACAACGACGGCATGAATTTATCGGCGCCGCAGACGTTCCGGTCTAAGGAGATATCTAAGAGCAATGTCGTCGACGATATGGTTGCTAGCAACGGAATTTTATTTGACTCCGGTGAACATCCTGACCATGTTGTCGTCATCAAGGTAATTAATTATATTTTACTTCTTTTTTTTACCAATATCTTACTTCTTTTTTGCTAAAATATATTACTTTTAAAATTATAAAATCATATTTAATTACTTATTCCTTTTAACGAGTTCATCTGATATGATAATATTCAAAGTACCATAAAAACATATTTCCGAGAATAACACACTTCTTATTCTTATTATTTTTTAAAAATATGATAATTTCATATAATTACAGAGTTTAAAATTAGATGTATTAAAAAATTAGAACCTTTAAATAAAAATAAGGTTTAAATATAAACATAATAAAGAATGTACCACTGGATGGTATTGCAGTATGTGCCGTATGTAGGAGACAGCAAGAGAGCCATGGACGAGTATACGTCAGAGATTTTCATGGGAGGGAAGAACACAATTGTGATGCACAACACTTGTGAAGACTCTCTTTTGGCTGCTCCTATTATTTTGGACCTTGTTCTTCTCGCCGAGCTCACCACCAGGATCGAGTTCAAGGCCGAAAATGAGGTTTGTTATTGTCTACAACATCGTTAATAACTCAATGATTTCGTCATGTTCCTAGTTTGTTTGTGTTTGCATTTGTGTGAAACAAACCGAGTCATTAGTATTTTTTTGCTTTGCAGGGAAAGTTCCATTCCTTCCATCCGGTGGCTACTATTCTGAGTTACCTCTCCAAGGCACCATTGGTAAATGCACCAAAGCAAAACATCCTGCTGTTTTTGAATTATAGCAACGTCGTTAAAATTAGACACTAACTTCAATTTATACAGGTCCCACCTGGCACGCCAGTTGTGAACGCTTTGTCGAAGCAGCGTGCAATGCTTGAGAACATACTCAGAGCTTGTGTTGGACTTGCTCCAGAGAACAACATGATTCTCGAGTACAAGTGAAGAAGAGATCCGCTTCATATAGCTTTGCTTTGTTTTTTAATGTTTTCATGAATAATTGCATTTTTAATAAGGGTTGACTTCTTTTTTTCTTAAATGCCATCCGTGTGATTTCGTTATATTGCCGAGCCATATATTGGTATCGCAAGCTGAATTGAATTTGTCTTCCATCTTATTTTAAACTCATTAATAAAAGTGAGGTTTGATATACACATTTTACCATTTTTAATAATAGTATGATTATTTTATTTCATTTGAAACCAAATATATACTTTCCCTTGTCTATTCGATCATATATATATTTTTTTTTTGCTTAAATATTCGATCATATATTGCAGTATTACTTTAGTTGCTCCTTTTTTTTTGTTTAAACTTCAGTTGCTCCTTTAATTTTTATAAATATATAAGTCAGTTCTTGATGACTAATGTAAATGCAATCGAATTGAATGCGAAATATAAAGAAAAAGATTAAAATAAACTGCGATTTAAAAAAAAAATGTTTTCACGAAAATGAATAAAAGTTTTAAGTTAAAATAATTATAAAATGTGACGTGTATTTAAATGACTCAATCTTTAAAAAGAAATTTTATTTCATTTCTTAAAAAACGATGAGTGATACTTTTGTGTTCATAAACTCAATTAACATGTATTGAGTAATAAAAATGCTTACAGTATTTCTCATCATTCTCTTCTTTTAAATGGTCAACATTCGGAACAAACAACAGAAATTAGGGATAAAAATGAGACTTAACTTAAGGTGCGATAACTCGTAGCCATATGAGGTAAGAAAAGGAGTAAAAGGCATGAGGACATATCACTCTTCTTCTTTTCCCATAGCCATCAAGAACTCCCCTTCGCATACCACAGTGTTCCCTACGTATGCTTTCCCTTCCATTTTGGCTATCCCAAACCGCTTCTGCATCTTCACAAGCGTCATCCTCATCACCAACGTATCACCTGCAATCACAGGCTTTCTGAATCTGACTTTGTCGATTCCAGCAAAGAAGAAGTTGCTTTTAGATCCCCCAACTTCTGGCTGCAGCATCACTATACCTCCCACCTGAGCCATAGCCTATGGAAACAAAACACATATATAGTTACCGCTTTGAATAAGTGTTAAGTATATAATGGATGAAGCTATTTATATGTAGCTCATATTAAATGTAACAATATATAATGAGTCTTCCTAATCATTTCATGACACATAGATTTGGAACAGATGCTACTGTCTCTCTAAAGATCATTTGGAATGAGATTACCTCAACCATGAGGACACCAGGCATAATGGGCCTCTCAGGGAAATGCCCAGGAAAGAAATTATCATTAATTGTCACGTTTTTGATAGCTACCGCAGATTCGCCAGGTGTATACTCTATCACTCTATCCACTAACAGAAACGGGAATCTACACATATAAATCCAGACATCGAATCAGAACAAAACAACTTAAGGTTAGAGAAACAATGTGTAAGAAAATTATTCACCTGTGAGGTAAAATCTCACGTATCTGGTTAATGTCCATCACTGTCGGAAAAGCCTCGTACCCTGCAAAAAAATATTTATTTATTTATTTTAAAAAATCGATTTGTAATCAGAATTTGATGAGAGTTTTGGTTACTGAGTTCTATAGGGATCTCTTTCTCCGCGGTGATGTTTGATTCATCGGTGGAGCATAAGACGAGCGAGCTTGATCGTGGTTTATGACGAAATGAGACGGAGGTTGATCTGGTCAGTGGAAGAAGACTCAACGGTGGCGATACGGAGTGGTTAAGAGAGATACGTGCAAGATTTCTCGACGGAGAGATGGTGAAAATGGAGTTAGAGGCAGACATTGTCGATCGATCTAGAGATGGACGGAGGTTTCGAAAGAGCTTCCAACGGAAACAATGTGGGTGAGATCATGTGATAAGTATATGGGTATTTTATTTATTGGGCCTATATTGGGCTTTTTTTGTTTAGCGCAACGTAAGCCGATGTCATGAAATTCGTGTTTTTCAACTATTTTTGTTATGGTTTTTTGACGGCTCAACTGTTTCTAATAATAGAAGGTGAAAGATGCAGATGATATAATTTGTGACCTTTGGGTGATAATTGAACGAGTGATACCAACCACCCTGCCTACATTGTGTAGCTGCAACTATGTATACAAAAGTCGAAACTTTCTGTTCAGCTAAAAACAATAGGCCACTTTACTATTCAACTACATTCTTACAGTAAGATCAATATCATCTATCTATATGCCAATTTTTAGCAAAATAAAAATAAAATTTTACAATTAGACCTTCAATCTAGTAAAAGTCACATGCATTCAAATCATTCGTTATAGATCGATTGATAAATTTGTGATATATAACGTTTAATTTTATTATTATGTTGACATGTAACGTTAGGTGTACCCCCAAGATTGTGATACATATCCTGTTATAGAAAGCGATGTTTATTCTGCAATCACAAGGTTGCATAATATATATATCCACGTTGGATTGTATATATATATATATATATATATCAATGTTAATCATCCAATTATTTTCAAAAATAATAAATATTATTCAATTATTTTTAAATGTTTATTTTATATGGCTTCATCTATAAACACAACATGTATTCCTGTGAGATTATTCAGAGGTAATAGAAAATGACATTTTTTGTTTGGTAGCTGGTGAGGAAGTTAAGTAGATGGGCCGCTCCACGCCCAGAGAACTTTGCTATGTCCATGCAAATATTCAGAAAACTAAAAGGTTTAGAGAAAAAAACACATCCATGTTCTCTATTTTCATTTACCACCCCAAATTCACCAATTAAATTAGTTTTTAACACAAGCAATTTCATTTTAACTGCTTATAACATTATATAGAAGACTACTAAATTAGCACAAAAAAAAAATCAAATAGTTAGAGCAATTTGGAAAAATAAATTACAAGATCCATCATAAATTGTTTTACCCCTTTGTATTGACCTGTCATACTGCTCTGTTTTAACGGATGAAGTGAGAAGTACAGGTCACAGGAGCAGTAAGAAGTAAGAACCCTCACGTGTCCTCTTTAGTTACCTAGATTCTCGAACTCTCTTATCTTAAAGACTTGAGGTGTGGTTATATAAAAACAAAGAGAATTACAAGATTTCATTTATTTATTTATATATGCGAAGTCATTAAAAGTCAAATTTCCATTTGAAGCACACTGATCTCGACTCATCCTCATCTCTGAAACAACTTTTAGCATGCTTCTTTTTATCCAAATTTAGGCAAAGAAACAAATTTAATGAGACTAAACATTCGACAATGTAAGAATATCATTAAAGACGCTTTACTCAACCAAATCTTATAATGCGTAAAGTGTAATTTATATGTAACGGTGAGTCCAAAACATGGGGACCCAACCACTAACCAGATTAATTTTACCAAGACCAAACCGGGCTTTGAGGACAACCATATCGATTTGGTTTATACAAATAGATATTTTTGTTATTGCTTGGTTTAATGAAATTTGGGTTGAGGAATTCTGTTTTGGTTTTGTTTCAGATAAAACCACAAGTGGAAAAATTTGGACTGGACCGGGTTATATCAATGTACCATCAGGTAGTAAAGCCAAGTCGTTGTCAGGTCTGGTTGTACTCATCTCCAATGCCAATTCTGTTTTATCAGTGAGATGCCAATTCACACATACATTTTCTTTATAAAGAACAGTCTCTGTGTTAATAATTCTCATCTCTTGTCCGGACATAGACACAAAAAATGGAAGCTGTAAGAAGAAGAAGCAGAGAGAGTAACAAAAGTCCAGAGAGGCTAATAAGGTCTTTAAATCTTCAGCAAGACGAAGAAGAGGAAGCCAAGACAAAGAGACCAATCTTCAGAAGAGTCCAAGTTGTTTATTATCTCACCAGAAATGGCCACCTCGAACACCCTCACTTCATCGAAGTCATTGCTCCGGTTAACCATCCTCTCCGGCTAAGAGGTATATTAAAAAAAGATCACTAAACTCTGTTTCAGCTTCAATGTTTTGTTAGTGTTTATCATTGGTTATGTGATCATAGTTTATGTGTGTGTTTTCACTGAAGATGTGATGAACCGGCTTACGGTTTTGAGAGGGAGGAGCATGCCATCACTATACGCTTGGTCATGCAAAAGGTAACGCTGCTTTAAAACCGAGGCACAATCTGTAACCAAAGACTGATAGATTTATGCATTTTTATTTCGATATATATTCATCAGGAGCTATAGAAATGGATTCGTGTGGAATGACTTAGCTGAAAACGATGTGATTTACCCGTCGAACTGTGGTGAATATGTGTTGAAAGGCTCTGAAATCGCTGGTAAGTTCATCATACTCGTCACTTTTGCAAAATTCAACTTTTTTTCTTGTTAAATTTGTAATTATTTTTTCTTTTTTGTAGAGAAAGTTCAAGAGACACATGTGAAGAGACCACTGTCTGGACCAAATCAAGAAGCTCCAAAAAGTCGACTTCTCAGGTTAAAACCAAAACTCCAAAACAGAACGGCGTCGTTTGACGACTCAGAGCTCTACCTCGGAGAAGAAGAAGAAGACGGAGATTACGAACTTTCCGAAGAGAAAACAAGTTACACATCCTCCACAACGCCGCAATCTCGCTGCTCACGTGGAATCTCCACGGAGACTATCGAATTCACCGAGAAAAAACCTAACTCGATCAAGACGGAACAGAACTTGCCCGTCCGGTCTGACTCGTCCGAGTTGACTCGTTCCTATCCAGTCGCGCCACCGCGTCGACTCGTGGTCCCCGAGCGGGTCGAGGACGGTGACCCGGTGGATACCGGATCGGTTCGCGGGTCGATTTGGCTCCAGATGATCTCGTGCGGACACATCGCCAAGCAGTATGCTCCGAGTCTGACGAACTCGAGAGCAAAGGGAGAGAATCTTCGGACAGGTGTTCTGTGCAAGAACGTTGTCAAGAAGGCTGTCGTGGAAGACGAACGTGAGATGATAAGGTTCATGTCGGAGAATCCAAGGTTTGGGAATCCCCAGGCGGAGGAGAAAGAGTATTTTAGTGGCAGCATCGTGGAGTCAGTGAGTCACGAACGAGTCGCGGCAGGACCCACGTTAAGACGATCCAACTCGTTCAACGAGGAAAGGTTAGTGGTGGACTTGTGGTCCCTGTCTATATAGCTATGACAATTGTGACTTTCAAACAAAAAAAATTAAAGTGTGACAAAATTTTGAAATATTTGATCAGATCAAAGATTGACGATATGGCTGAGAAGGTGAAGGAGAAAGAGGAACAAGAAGAGAGATCGAACGTGAAGGTGAGATGTATACCGAGAAGGAAGAGCTCATCGTGTTTAATGTCATCATCGAAGCAAACCAAGAACTGAAAAAAAATATTTTAGCATAAAGTGACAATGATCATTAGTATAATAGTATTTAATGCTACATGTGGTATGAGTAATGAACTAGATGTTGCTGTTTTAAAAAAAATCCAATAGTTTGAACAAAAAAAAAAAAATCTTGTAGTAGTAATCTACTAGAGTGATATTGATATTGTCTTCTCGTTTTCTAAAAGATGAAAGTTCTTCTTTTTTTTTGAGTAACAAGTTGAAAGTTCTATCACCATTAAAAATCAATATTATTAAAGGTAATAAACGGAGATGCTTCCGAAGGAAATGATAATTGACATATCCAGAAATATGGAAAGCGGGTGAGATGATTGGATATAAACCATGCCGTACATTCACCCATCGATTCGTATAAGTACCTTTCGAATTAAGTTTATTATAACAAATAAATATTGTATTTTGTCTGCCACATAATTGAGCATATAGGGTTGAGTTAAACACACATTTTCCTTTTCCACCAATAATTATTCCAATATTGGGTTATTGTATTGAAATATTTTAATGGAACTTGCGCAAATTATTTTAGCTAAACTAGTATAAATCAAATAAAAGTATGTTTAAAGGTATATTTTCAATATTACAATTTTCATCATCACATTTACTAAAACATCAATAAAATACACTAGCTTGTTCATATAGTAGCATACCGACGAAATAATTTTAACCAAATTCATTTATTTAATTAAAAATAACTATAATTTGATCTGCACTCTTGTGCGAATATATATTTTCATTTTATATATGTTTGATTGTTTATTATATCTATAATGTTTGTAGACACAAAATTAAATAGTTTACATCGTATAAAAAATATTGATCTATACGCCATAAAAATATTAATAGCTTAAACTGTTTACATGTTGTAAAAAAATATTAACACATACGCCAAACTAAATCTTCGAAAAATATTGACTAACTGATATATCCAAATAAAACACGAAATCAATTTCCAAAAGTAAAAATATTTTAAATATTTTGATTAAATATACTTAATGATAGCCGTAATGGTTAAAAATATATTTTAGGCACTACAAGCTAAATTTGTGGGATTATATGATATTTGAAAAATATTACATAACTAGATAATAATCCATGCCATGTGCGGATTGAGTTTTTTTTTAAAAAAATTGTATTTAAATATATATATTTTGTTATCAATAACTTTTTATATTTGATTAAAGATGAACATTCGTGTACCATTTGGTTAGATTAGATTCTGTTTGATTTAGATCTTGCGGGTTTGATTCGAATCTTTGCAGGATCGGTTTGGAAAGATTAAAGTTCATATATACTTTAAATTTCTCAAAATCTAAAAATAATATATAATATATAAAATATAAATTTGAATAATGAATGCCAAAATACGTCAACTTAACAAAAAAATTAGTTTATCGTAGATATTTAGACAAAAAATCAATAAATATTTCAAATATTTTTGGTATTTGGAATATCGTTTAACTATTTTAAAAAAGCACATTTAACTATTTTATATATTTCTAAATATTTTGTAAAAAAATTAAACATCTCATGTATTTTGATATTCTTAGATTTACATTTTAAAATAGTTAATATTTTTAAGTATATAAATCTGGTTTGAGTACACTCGGATACCCGAAGTTTTTAGATTCAGTTTCGGTTTTTAGATACCAAAAATTTGAATCCATCTGGATAACTAACTCATTTTGGTTAAATATATGTACTACTTTGTGGATTAGATTTGGTTTGATTATTTGGATTCAGTTTTTTTTTGCTCAATCCTATATATTTTATTGTAACAAAATTTTAACGGATAAGATAATGATTCATATGGATTTTAGGTAAGCAACAATTTTAAATCAAAACACACTCAATTATTTACATGATCCATTTAGCATTTGTAATTTAGTAATAAGTCTTAGGATGAATCTATATTTGTATTTCTCTTTTATTAATATAGATAATTTTAAAAGGGATCATCCATATATCGAATTTTAGTTGTTATATGGGGGTTCAACAGGACCATCGAATTTTAGTTGTTATAAGGGGGTTCTTTTTTTTTATCCAAATGCAGTTATAAGGGGGTTCAATAGGAGGAACTTGTCAGTTGTCCACATAATATTCTACAAAATTTTCATATAAAAGAATTGTTTTTAACATTTAAGGGGTGTCTCTCTTTAAGTGGATTCGTCGCTCGTTGTTCGTACTTAATATCCAGATAAATACAGTAGTTGGCCACGTCAAATCTTCTCTTATCCAAAAAAATAACAATCACGTTGATGGTTGTCCTTTTTTTTTTGGAACACCCGTTAATGGTTGTTCAGATTAGGCTCAAATCAAACTCACACGACAACTTTGAATGACAATACTCCTACTAGTTTATATGTCATATAGCCAATAGATCTATAAAAACTTGGTCTATACATATTTTTGAATCATAAGAATCTGCCTGACTAGTATAAATCAAATATTGAACATGCAAGAAACTAACAGAAAGAACACAAAATATGTGCTATCGAGAAATGTTTACAAACTTACATCGCAAGTGTATTAATGTATTAAAATGTTTTTGTAGTGTAGTATGTTTTTCTTTTTATCAACAGTTATGCATTTTGTTAAGATATAATTTTTTATAAGTATAGATGTAACCATATATATAACTTGAAATCAATTATTCGATCAAAAGATAATTAAAATCCGATTAATTTTATTATGTTGATTTCTTTAAAAAAGGCAAGAGGCAAGAGCACTCACAGGGAATTCGTCATGCGGTACACGTGGCTGTCTTGTCCCTGAAACGCATTGTTTACTTCTACAATTTTTTTTATTTTCATCTCTCTCGTTTACCCTAGAAAATAATTTGCCCGAGGAAGAAAAATGAGATAGAGACACAAAAAGAAAGAAATAAAAGGAAAAAAGAAAGAAAAAGCAAAAAATAAGAAAGAACATAAAAAAAAAAAGCTTTAGTATCTCCGGCGACTTGAAACCAAACCTCAGGATCAAATTAGGGCACAAAGGCTTCTCGGAGACAGAAGCCATGGGAAGAAAAAAACTAGAAATCAAGCGAATTGAGAACAAAAGTAGCCGACAAGTCACTTTCTCCAAACGACGCAATGGTCTCATCGAGAAAGCTCGTCAGCTTTCTGTTCTCTGCGATGCATCCGTCGCTCTTCTCGTTGTCTCCGCCTCCGGCAAGCTTTACAACTTCTCCTCCGGCGATAAGTATGACTTCTCCTCTTCTGGGTTTTCCTCTATTTGCCCTTTAAGCTTCCCTTCTCTTCTCTTTACTATTTATAGGAAAATAAAAAATAAAGATACAAAATAAAATAAAAAACAATTAAAAGACACTTTGATTAATTATTTCCGACAGATCTCTTGTGGATTTCTCGGTTTTGTGTTTGTTGTTGTTTCTTCTATGGCCATGAGAGATACATGAGGTAACCAGATTTGAGGAAGAACAATGTCTTGATGAGCTAAAGCTTCTTACTTTCTTCATTTCTCTCTCTCTCCCTTTTTCTGCATGGATTTTTTTTTTTAGTTGTAAAAAATTGCATGTCCTTCAAGATCTTCTTGATACATTGAGATGCATACTTGATGTTGTTTAGTGAAGTTTCAAGCCATTATCAGTTGTTAATTGGCTTTAGAGATTCCTTATGTACATCTGAAGAGTTGTCTATCTGAATAAGTAATTAATGACTAATGTTTCTCTCTTTAGAGTAATTAAAGTCAATAGATCTTTCCAGTGCAATGCACTTCTGGGAGATCTGTAAGATTGATGTGGGATTAATGCTGATCAAGAGTTTTAATTTGAATGTATGCCACATTGTTCAGCCATAGACCTAAAATATAATTGTAGATCTTCAAAACAATTTCTCTCTTTACCATGGATTTATTGCTTGAAGATTAATCAAATTACTAGGTTAGTGATTGGTTCTTAGTTTCACATATATATGTACAGTAATTTTAAATTTTGGTAGATAAGAAAACTCAGACTAACAGTTAGTACTTAACTACCGCACATATATGCTACACTACTTGTGTTATCCAAGATTGAGATAATTAGTATGGGGTTGATGAAGGATTAGCTAATAGTTTTGATCTTAACTTATTTTGTTTTTTTTTTGTCTCCTCTTCAGCCTGGTCAAGATCATTGATCGATATGGAAAACAACATGCTGATGATCTTAAAGCTCTGGTAATACACAAACATTTTGAACAAGTCCTAGAAATCTCCTTATATACTCTCGGAGCTAACTCATAGCCTCAAGTTTTAGCTTGCGTTATGTGGGCATTAGCTCGCGTGCATTTAACCTTTTGTGCATATAGCATTTATATTTTGATGCTCATGTAGTTATCAAATTTTGTTGACGACATATCGAAGAGGTTATTGGGAGATTGATGCTCCCTTGGGAATAATTATTTGATAAACATAAGCGAACACATGTTTAGCACTTAAATCAGTAGAGATCTAGATAGAGTTATTGCATTATTGATCCACTCATGAGCCATTAGTTTGTCAAATGATCCTATCCTATGTGAGGCTGTGGATCCACTTGCATACCCAATTTCTCAAATCCCTTGTTTTATCCCTTCTCCGTGACAGGATCTTCAGTCAAAAGCTCTGAAGTATGGTTCACACCATGAGCTACTAGAACTTGTGGAAAGGTTAGTACTGACTAAGACCATTTTGCTATCCTCCTTTGATTACAAAGGAATTAGTGTCAAACTATGAATATATGCAGCAAGCTTGTGGAATCAAATTCTGATGTAAGCGTCGATTCCCTCGTTCAGCTGGAGGACAATCTTGAGACTGCCCTCTCCGTAACTAGAGCTAGGAAGGTACGTTGACTACATAATCTGTTCCTTTTCTTAGTCTCCGAGTGCTTATATTTGATTTGTTTCAGACCGAACTAATGTTGAAGCTTGTTGATAGCCTCAAAGAAAAGGTTAGACATCTGATTTTATTGCACTTTAGATTATCTTATTATGTGTTGAGAGACTCAAAACTTTTGTGTATTGATGCAAATTTATGGGGATGAGGCAAATCTTTTGGGTTCCATAATCTGAAATTAGGTTTTGAAACTTGGTAAGTGATGATTATGTTGACTTTCAAAAACAGGAGAAATTGCTGAAAGAAGAGAACCGTGGTTTGACTAGCCAGGTAACAAGTACTTCTTTTTATATGCAAAAGCTAACAAGTACTTCTTGCACATATACTTACTCTTATAGTTGCAGATATACATATACACAATATGTATTGATCTGAGATCAATTAGGGCATTTTCGTTAGATTTGGTTTATCTTACTTTTGATGAGAGTATTACTTTATAAATCCCAAAATTTGATTGGTGTGGATTTGGTTGGGGAAAATATTGGTTCGGTTCTAATTTGGATTATTATAAATTAGCAAAGCACCCTAAACCCTAAAAGTAAACCCTAAACTGTGTCATAGACCTTAATACTTCAACAAAAGTCTTTAACCCTAAAACCTAAAAGTAGTATAGTTCTTTCAAGTTAGAGGATTCAGCATTTTCTTATACTTAGGGGCTCTGAGTTTTACCGACTGATATATCCAAATCGAATGAGCCTGGATTTGAAAGAAAAAATTGAAGTTTGTGACCCTTAAAAAATTCATGAGTACCATTCGTAACCAAAAGAAGAAAAAGACTAAATAATCTGTGATATGTCATTTAGATAAAGTTAAAATAATCTCTTTTCCGGTTGTTGGACATCATTCTGTTTTGGTAATTTGGTTTGATATTTATGGAACGGATTAATATATATACTGTTACGGTTTAGGTTTAGGTTTGGATCTGATTTGTTAGGTTCATGTATCTAGTCCTAGTTTCACAGTCTTACTTGTTCAGGTTAATCAGGTAAAAAGCTAGTCTAACATATATATGATTTGAGAAAGATAAATTCGTTTTAAGCTTGAAAGACCCTAAAAGCTCGACAAATTATAAAAATAATATATATTCCTTGTGTAAATAGAAACAAAAGAGAGAAAGAAATATGAGTGAATATTGGTTTTGACCTATAACTGTCTTACAGATAGAGAAGAAGAATCTTGCGGGGGAGGAAGCTGATAATATGGAGACGTCACCGGGACAAATCTCCGACATCAATCTTCCGATAACTCTCCGACTGCTTAATTAGCCACCATCAATCGATGGTTTTTTTCAAAATCCAAAAATGATTAAAAACAAAAATAAGTTACCGGATTATTCCCCCTTATAAGGGTGAACGTTGTATATCTTCATACTCTCTTTGGCTAAAGAGACTTCGAGTGTAAAAACTACGTTAGATTTAAGTAAAATATGTATTTAAGACATACTACTTATGGATCTTTGTACCTTGTTCGAGACAGAATTGTAGCGAGTTTGTGCGTCTCTCTTCTGTCAAAACACGTGTCTGTTTGTGTGTGTGTGTTCGTGTTTTCTGTTAATACTTGTGTTTGCTTCATGGTGAAGACTGAGGAAGCCTGCTGCCTAATTTGCAGTGGAGACGTGGCCATCTTTACTTTGTTTTTGTGCCTTCAGCAATAACTTTGTATCTATCTAAAGCGCGTACTGATTGTCATGGGTTTCTATGGGCCTGCGTCGGTTACAGTTGGCCCAATAGGCATAGTTCTTAAGATGCATTGCGGTTGGTTCGTAAGCGACCGACTTCGTTTTTCTTTTTCGGACCGGAGTTTCAATTTCCTTCTATCATCCACGAACGGATTCCTTAAGTTTCTCCACATTTTGTATTCTAAAGTCGTACAATTACATCAGCTCAATCAGCTGGTCAATCTAAATCTGATTACACGAATGATTGTTTATTCACATATCTGATCAAAATCGAGTTCAACCAACAGTCACATGACTTACGTTCTCTAAGTAAGGTTTTGTTTATATGCCACGGATAAAAGTCAAAACTTGCATTTAATTTAGATCAAGAATTTCAGATACCACGGGCTCAGTTGACATTAATGACCCCTTGCTAATATTATTAAACTTTATATAGTAATCTATTATCTACGTAACCAACTTACAAGGCCACCGTGTTCTTATGGTTGTATAATATAATATATCGAACTTTGGATCAACATCGTTAATGTCAGAATGCACTCTTACATAAAGGGGGAAACGAGCACGTTGTGGGTCGGACCGAAGCAAACCAGCAATTTCATCACTCTATTTAACAAATTAAGTAATTACGATACGAAATATATTTATATCAAAGCCGGTTCTGGGTCAAACCTGTTGAAAATTTTATATTTACATAGGTTTCTAAAAATAAAATTCTAAACCCACAAATTAGTTTAAAAAAATTTAACTAATTTTTTTTTTTTAAATTGCTCAAGCCCTCTAAAATCTCAGGCCGGCTGAGGGCAGTCATAGTATCCCCCTATACATTAAAAGAGAAGTCACTTTGACACGTGTCACTCACACAGCCCTTCTCAGAAGAATTCTAGCGATTCTATTGGTTGAGTTTTTATAATTTATTTTTTGATTTATTTTTACTAACGACACTACTAAAAAGGAAATTCATTTAAATACTTACCTTTTGTGTTTTCTCGATTCAAAGAACATCCTTTTGCGATCCTTTCTCTGTTTAATTCATTAAATACGCATTAAATATTTTAGCTCGTCACACTTAAGAAAAACATGTAGCATTATGTCTTCTGAAATATATATACGAATAAATTATATTTGTATTTATAAAATATAATTTTGTCTTTTAACATGCGATAATATATTTTCATAAACCTAAATTGTATATGATTTCTTATCCTGGTAAGAAAAACACACACATACATTTTATACTAAAATATGTTAAAAACATATTGTTAGTAATAACTGTTAAAAACATATGTTAAATCACTAAAATGACTTCTTAGTAATAATTACTTATCCTTTATATAAATAGATTGTTAGAAAAACACACACATACATTTTATACTAAAATATGTTAAAAAATTCACTAACATATAATTATTTATTAAAATGATTAATAGATTATAATTATTTATTAATAAATTATATTTGTTTATTAAATATTTACCCACCAAAAGCCGCATTCAATTAAAAATTATTTAAATTAATCGTGGCTAAAATCTTACATTATTACAATATTTGATTATACATTTCTTGTGCATGTAAACGTATCTAATTTATTTGATTATTAAATTTATCAAATTTGTTAATCCCTTTTAATGACTTACCTTGCACAAGTTCTAACTTTCTTTAATCTATTTTAATTAATTTTTAAATCTATCAAATATAATAATTCATATTAAATGTCTTACTTTATTTAAAAACTACATTACTTGCACAATAATGAAATTAAGCCAACAATATTATTTGGTCGATCACTAATAATTTACTAACCTTACAATAATTAATACATGTATTAATTATTTTTCCTTATTAGATATTACTTGCGCAAGAATATAAATTAGTAAAATATGTATTAATAAATTTCCTTATTACAAATACAGAAAACAATTCACTCTTGATATCATATTGATTACATTGTTTAGTTGCGATTTATCGATTTGTATCTAATTAGGATGTTTGTTATTATTAACTTACCTTATTAATATTGAATATACATTCTAATATATAGTTTCTATATACAGTTTCTCATATGATTAATCGTATAGAATATATAATATTCTCAATAATTTATTAGAGAATATTATATTTATTAGCTTATCATGCAAGCTAAATCATTGAGAAACGTCCACCAATTTACTATATATAAGACATTCACAGTAGGAGAAACGAAGCCACTAAANAATATTGAATATACATTCTAATATATAGTTTCTATATACAGTTTCTCATATGATTAATCGTATAGAATATATAATATTCTCAATAATTTATTAGAGAATATTATATTTATTAGCTTATCATGCAAGCTAAATCATTGAGAAACGTCCACCAATTTACTATATATAAGACATTCACAGTAGGAGAAACGAAGCCACTAAACTTTTTATGTTGATACTGTTTTGTTATTTTATATCATTAAGCTTTTATATATACATATTTCATCAGAGCTGACTTTTATTTTGGTTTATATGCAGATGCCCTATTATAACGATTTCACCATGATGCAGGTAAATTTTTTTATCTTTCTATATGATTTGATTAATCGTAGATCTATTTGAATTCTAATTCTTACTTTTTTAAATATGTTCATAGGTATTGTCTTTCTATTTAATGATTGTTTGTTAGAGCTTAGAAGGAGAATAATGCTTTCATATGTATTTTTCTATTGGTTTTTTAATTTACAATTTTAGTTTATATACGCAGACCAACGATTATGACGTTTCCTCTTGTGGATCCATATGTACTTAAATCTTTCTTCACATTCATGTTATTCAGAGACATGAACAATACAAATGATCATATCATCCAAAACACGTAAACTACAATGTAAGTTTCATGCTTTGTTACTTTCTCTATGATTTTTCAAATAATTCTTTGCTTATACACTAAAGAAAAAAATCTTTAATCAATATTTTATTATAAAAGTTAGTATAACTTTTTATACATTTTATCAACTTTGTACTCAAATATGATTTTATACAATTTATCATATTATAAAATGTATATCCTATAAATTCATATATGTAAACTATATAGTTCTTTTTTGTCATCTTTTTTTGTCATCATAAACTATATAGTTCTATGTCAATTATAATATAACTTTATACAATTTATCACATAATAAATTATGTATATAATTCAGAGTTAGAATATGATATGTGTAACATTTTTGTATATATTTCTAATACTAATGTTAGAATTAAATCGGTTATATACAAATTTCTATATTAAACATAAGTGATAAAACATAATTATTAGATATTTCTATAGATTTACAATAAATCAAAATCAAAACTATTTATTATTCTTTAATTTTATAACCATATTATAGTATTAGGAAATATATACCTTGTTGGTAGGCTTTTATTTAGTTAATTCGTTTATTAATAACTTGTCTTATTTTATTATCAGTTACTTGCACAAGTTGATACGATGATTACCTTATTGTGCCATCAGTTACTTGTCTTAAATGGTATGTTAATTATTGCAAATTTATGACAGTCAATTTTTAATATTTTTCTTTGATTGCGCCATGTTTATTAAAAGGATACAAATATTACAAGAACCATAAGACTTTATATATCTCAAGAAATGTCTTTACAAGAATTTTTATAACAAATATTCCAGGAACCATAAGACTTAATGATAAAATATGATTATTAATTCGTAATTATTCTTTAAAATTGATATATTCTGATTTTTTTTTTTATATATAATTCTAAAAGAAATAATCTTTTTAGGAAGTATTTTTTAAATATACATTTAATTGAAAATTTTAAAAATTAAATTTTCGTGAAATATATGTCTATTAAGTAAATTTCTTGTTCTTTTATGATGTCATTTATTGGTAACTATATACATGTGATATTGCATTAAATGTGTATGTTTTTTATTTCTTAATTAGTTAATTCGGAAATATGATGATTACCTTATTTTGTTATCAATTACTTGCACAAATTTATATGATAATGGTGATTTCAGCTAGAAAAGCCCAAAAATACTATCCATTTAGAAAACCACAAATATAATGGTGATTTGAGATTTAGAAAAGCCAAAACTATTATCTTTATTATATTTATATATATATAAATATATGGATCTTAAAAATGTAATTTACTATATATATACATTTGTTTGTTCTTTCTATTAACAGATAAATAACACAGATGAAATACCGTTTGTAGTTGACTACAAACCATTTTTCAGTCTGTTTCAATAGCGATATGCAAATTTAATATTATTTTCGACTCGATAAAATTTAGAAATCTATTAAATTATTTTATATTGTACAATTGCTAAAAAATTGACAATTTTTTGCAGGTTTCTATGTGATTATTTTAATTCATAATTGTTCTTCTTATTTTCTATTACTTATGAATTATATTTAAATTTTTATCACATTTTCTATGGGATTGTGATATCTATGAGATTTTTATCACATTTTTAATGTCACTGTCTCCTGTATATTTTCTTACATTTGTTTTTTTAATAGTTAACTTTTATTAAAAACATACTAATGATGTTAATTTTTTTTTTACTTTAGTTAACTTTCATTTGTTTTATTCTTATATACTTTTTGTGACTTTTTATTTTTTGTTTCAGTTTAATATTGAATTTAGTTCACATACTTTATGTGTATATGTTTTAAACATAATTTTTCTTTTAAAAAATTAAGCGACAAAGAGCCTAATTAAACCGATCCAAAAACAAACCGAACTGAATATAAATTGAACTGGACATAAACAACACCGAACCAGACTAAATAAGGTTTATTTCAGTTGAAAAAATATATTAAAACCGAATTAAACAAACCAAACCGAAAAAGTAACGATTTGCCCACCTCTACTACATCTTAGAGATTTGCGCAAATCTTGTCTCAGCATTGAAACTCTCACTTGTTCCACTAACTCCCACATTTGAATTCAATAGATACTCCTGTCTCAACATTATACTATATTTTTATACCCGCACAGGGTGCGGGCCGGTCACCTAGTATGAATATATATGAGGAGATTTTTAGCTGGTTTATAATAGTGGATGATGTGTATTCTAGTTTTAGATAGTATTGTTAGATAGTATTGGCGAATAATTAGAGAAATGAAAAATCTATAATCCAAGACGTATATAAGAGTTAACAACAACCGTACGAGTTGACTTGTGGAGAAGGCAACACAAACTCTCTCGCCGTGTACTGCGGAGTAGGAGCCGCAAGTGGATCCAGCCGACACTAAGCAAGCCTTTTAATTTGCACAAGATGCTATACACTTACACCATTCTTTACTACATGTGCCCTTCAGCTTCCTTCTTATATATAAAGAATACATTACATATATAGTTTGTACATTATTACAAAAACCCCTTCGCTAGTAACAATCTCCAGTTTGATAGTATCATTCTTAACTTGTTTATAGAGATGGCTAGATCATCTGTACCTCTTATCGCTGTGCTGTGTGTTTCGCTACTACCACTTGCGGCCATGGCGATTGGAACTCCATTCCACATTGAAGGATGTGTTTACTGCGACACATGCCGCTTTGGATTCGAGACAATCGCCACCAAATATATCACCGGTTCGTATTAATAACTGCATTATGATTTTCCTCTTATAGTTCACATTGTGATTAATTCTTTGGATCTGGTTAGTAACATGTTAAATAGTGGTATGATTCATATATATACTTAGCATTTTCATATATATATTATTATTTTTTTCCTTTTCAAAATGAATAGTTTTATTAATCAGTGTGGAACTCTTTAAAATCGAGCACAAATATATAGGTTGGTGTTTAGACAATTGAGACTAAAGATTATATTGTTCTGCTTGTTATAACTTTTTTTTTTTGCTTTTTTCCTAAACATATGTCTCTGTTTATTTGAATAAAAGGGGCAAAAGTGAGGATAGTATGCAAAGACAGAGTGACACTGAAACCAGAGGTAGTTGGTGAGGCGGTGACTGGACACGGAGGAAAATACAAGATCGCCATCACAGGAGACCGACAAGACCAGCAATGTCTTGCGGAGCTCGTCGATAGTCCTCTCCGCAAATGCCAAGTGGCTGATCCTGGTCGCAGCACGGCCACCGTTATCCTCACGCGATCCAACGGTGCCGCCTCTACTCGCCACTTTGCCAACGCCATGGGCTTCTTCAGGGACGAACCACTCCGTGGTTGCGCCGCTCTCCGCAGATACTACCTCGCCGACGGTGATTCCCGGGCTATTTGAGTCATTTTACTCACCTTATGTGTTCTTCTTGACGTAACAAAAGCGAAAGGTTTTGTTTGTGTAATGTTGTTGTTCAGTCTCTAAAGCTGGTTTAAGACTATCTAAGAAACTAGATAAAATAAAGTATTTGCAATCTTTAATTTTATTTTCCTCATGTTATGAAGAAGAAAATCATTTTTATATTTTGTTGTCAATGAGCTTATATATAGGATCTGAAACGATTTAGCTTCTACAGAAATTTCGCTGAATATTTGAACTTCAACTTATTGTTTAGAAACCATATGCTAATTATTTTAAAAGCTATTGTTAATCTTGGAACTATTCTATTATATTGGTGGATAGATTGAACTAAAGAGTACATGTAAGGCACACTATTGCTTAAGGGATTTAATCATAGTGACAAATTTATTAATGATCGGACATATATATGTCTTTGTCTTCACAACCCATATCCCAAACTGAAAAAGTACTCTGGTCCACATTGTCAGACGACTGATTTGATTCCATTAATTGGTTCAAATCCACGGTAGTATCATCATCATCATCTTCGAATCTCCTAGAAAAATTAAACTCGTGTTGCATCCTCTCGAACCATAAATTATCCATCCAATTGCTATGCTCATCATCATCTCGCTTGCCCATTGCACTCGAGCTCGCACTATAATCATCTTCACTAGTCGTATTAGTACCAATACTTGGTGCTGTTTCGAGCACGGAGCTTGTCTCTCCCGTGCTCTGGCTAGAAGACCCGTATAGACACTGGATCTCATGGCCCGTTCTTGAGTTCTTGTCCACGAATCCAAAACTCGTATCACTCTGAGGACAGCTCGAGTTTTGGCAAGTGTAAACACTCTTAGACGGTTCCATAAACTCACCTTTTCTCTTGGTCTTGGACACGGAAGCTTCTTGATCCTCTGAGATCTTGAGGTCTTTGATATTGAGAAGAGCCTCTTCATGGTTTAACACACGTGACCAAGTATCAGTCTCCTTAGCCATCATCTTATCTTGTAAACATTTTGACTGCCTCGCGAGACGTCTCACTCTCCCCAAGTTCGGCGACATGTGTTTGATCACAGCCGCGAGAACGCTAACTTTCCAAGACTTCCTCAAATCGTGCGGCTTTCGATACGGCGGCACGCCGTGCTCGTGAGCCGCTCCTTGCTCTCCCCACCAAATCTCCGTCCCCGTCGGCCACCACGGAGGAGCTATGCCTTTCTCTAACGGAAACCGTCGCTGCGGCGGCGCGCAGTGTTGCATTAAAGCAGATAACAACGACCCTAGAGTCGTGTCTTGTAACTCTTGCAACATGTGTAATAAACTCGACGGCTCTTTCTCCATCAGCTCAGCCGCAGCAGCAGCCGCGAGTGTTAAGTAATCAGAAACAGCGTTTGGAGCGTTTTGGTCGAACTGAACGTTTTCTTTCCACCAACGTCTTAAGCTGTCGGAAGAACCGGTTATCGGTTTACCCTTTTCCGGTACGATGCCGTAGACAAAACCTTTGGCTTTACAAACCTCCATGATCTTCATCATGTACTTCAACACCGAGTCTTGCGAACGAGCCATCTTCTTGCGACGTGAGGCCTCGGCTCGATGCGTTGAAAGCGAAACGACGTCGGTGTTGTTGTTGTGTCGTTTCTGCTGCTTGAGCTTTTCCATGAGGTTGCGGTCTTTCCACATGCGTCTTTTGAGGTCATTATAGCTTATCTCCTCCTCCTCTTCTTCTTCTTCTCCTCCTTCTCCTTCATGTGCGTCTTCAACGGGACTAAGTGGTTCCAATTCTTCGACTTCCACCATTTTTGTTTATATGACCATCATCAGATTTCGAGTTATGGACTTTGTATACGTGATTGAGGTTATTGTCCGTACTTACACCAACTTTTGTTAAAATGAGAGCCTTTATATAGATGCTAGATTATGTAAACGCAGAGATACATAAAAGATTGATTATTAATTTTTTTTTTCCTTGAGAGGCAAGTCTGCATGTGCGATGGTGGACGTGTCGAGAGTTCCTGGTTCGGTATGAGCTAAACGCAAGTTGTAAAAGATTTTGGAATTTTGTGGTGGAGATATTTATATATATTTTCAGTTGGACAAGAACCGGCATACGCCTCCGTAGGTTAGTGGAAATCAAAATAGGATAACCAAAGTTGATTGCACCGACTTAAGGACTATATAGTATTGTGTATTTTTGTGTGTGTAAAATGCGTAGAAATGTATAGCGAATCTTGAAACCATGGGTGTTAATTAAACAAACGGTGGTGAGTCTGGTGACGCATGATCATGAGTCCATGGTATAGGTAGATTATTAATAGAAATAATGAACGTTTTATAAGAGTGAGGTGGGAGGAGATGATGAAGCATTGGATAAATATGGTAAGCGAGGGATTTCGGGGATTACTGAGATCAGGCGGGCGGCTATCAGCAAATATTAATTACGACGCTTTCGTATGAGCTTACATAAGGTTAATTTCTACGTTAAATGTCTTTTATTTTTTTGGGAAATGTATTTACGACTTCAATAAAACAAGAAATGTATATACAGTAAAACTTCTATAAATTAATAATGTTGGGACTTTAAAATTTTATTAATTTATAGAGATATTAATTTATCAAAAAATTTCTTATTCAGATTTTTTTTCTATTTTTTCCATTTTTATTTAGAAAATCAAAAAATATTTTATTTTCGCAGAGATATATTATTTAAATATTAGAAATTTAACTTTTATATATTTCTATTATCTTATTTAGTGTATATTCTTATGTTTCATAGAATTGTTCTGTGGTTTCGATATAATTTAACTAAATATTATCAAAATATATTAGTATTTTTATTGTAAATATAAAACCAACAATATAATGTTAGATTGTACTTATATAAAATCATATATAGATAGATTATTAATTTATGATTTTAATGGGACTATATATTTACATGAAATTTTTAAAAATATTATTATCTTATTATTTTATCAATTTGAGTCATATTTGACACCGGTCCAAATTGAAATTGGTGAAATTTATTATTTGATAAAGATTACTAATTTATCGAGTATTAATTTATAGAGCTTCTACTGTAGACACGCATAGTTTTTGAGTTCTGTTTAAGAATGAAGGAGTAATTACTTAATAATTATAAAGAAAAAAATTATGGAAAATAATAAAGAAAATAGTTTGAATATTGAAAAGTAAACAAAACATAAGTTTGAAACTTGTCCGTAACAGAAAGGCAGCCTGTGATGTCATGCATGCCTGAAATTTTTGATCGTAAAAACGATGTGGGTTTTCGTAGTGAAACAAAATGTATCCCTAATCTTTTTCTTTTTTTTTGACTAAATGTATCCCTAATCTTATAAGCTTGATATCACTACTCTCACATAAACTTACATTAGTTCTTTCAAAAAAGATGTCTAATTGTTTTTATGCTGAGAAAGATATATGCCCCTTACAAAAAAGAATGATGTGGGAACTTGTCTCCTTAGATAAATGTTTGATTTGGTGAGTCCACAATTATTGTGGATTTTAGGAGAAATCAACATACGTCGTTGTAGACACCTTAATTAAAATGGAGATATTCAACCAACTTGAACCCATACTGCCAACCGAAGATAAAAATAGATTCAGGTTGAAACATTCTCGGACTTTTATTTTTGTTACGACAAGTCTCGCATTTTCTTTCTAAATATTGACTTAACAAATCTAAGGTTCATTTTCCGTTTCCTTACAAGACCAGCAAATAGCTATAGAAGAAAAGAAGACAAAACAACTAACCAAAAAAAGGAAGAAAAAAGAAAAAAAAAAGATCAAGAATTGACAAGAACAGAACAGAACCCACCACCAAGTCTATTGACAAACTTACATCGATCTGAGAAGTGAAAACGAAATCATTCTTCTTCTTTTTTGTTGTTCTTAATCTATTTTTATTACAATACAATTTAGAGCTTCCTCCAAACGTTTTAGCTCTGTTTCTTTATATTTCTGCCTGCCTCTATCAACCCTTTCCTCGGGTTTGATTGATTATGCCAATCTAGTGGCGCAAGGATGGCAGAAAAGCCAGTGGAGAAAAGGTCCCGTCGAGGGATTCTGGGTGCCGTGTTTGGTAAACGTGGCTTGTGGTCCAAGAAATGTACCGTGGTTGATAAGGGTCACCATAAAAGCACGACGAGTAGCAGCATTGCCTCCACAGCCTGCAACCCTAATATTCAGTTCACCAAATCTCCAGCAACCGAATTAAACCCTAATAAGCTTCAAGGCCAAAAAGTCTCACCTGAACCCATCCAAAGCCAGATACAAAGACCCATCTCAACGAATCAAAACCCTAAAAACAATGGGAATTATCAACAGATTAATAATCAATGGCCGGTCCAACAACAAGCGAAGAAGGTTCCAAAGGAATCTATCGGTTTATCAGGAGAGCTAGAGAGTATGATCAACGACAATCGGAGAGCCACAGGGATTCGAGCATCTTCAAGCAATGTCATGTTTGGCAATCTTGGGAACTTGAAGCAGCCAGGAGGAACAACATCGGTTGGGAACCAAACCACTGTTCAAAACAAGGGATACGGTAATAACGATGACGCGTATAGGGTGAGGATGAAAGAGGAAAGACAAACATCAGTTTCAAATAACCAAGAACAGCCAGGATCTTTGTGTAGAGCTATATCGACCCGAATGGATCCTGAAACTTTAAAGATAATGGGGAATGAAGATTACAAGAACGGGAACTTCGCAGAGGCCTTAGCGTTGTATGATGCTGCCATAGCCATTGATCCAAAGAAGGCTGCGTATCGAAGCAACAAAAGTGCTGCATTGACGGCATTGGGGAGAATTATCGAAGCAGTATTTGAGTGTAGAGAAGCTATCAGAATGGAGCCTCATTACCATAGAGCTCATCATCGGTTGTCTAACTTGTACCTCAGGTAATCTCATCAAATCCCTACCTTGTAACTCAAGTAATATCATCATTTAAAAAAAATAGAAATAATTGAACATGTAGGTTAGGAGAGGTTGAGAACTCAATATACCATGTTAAGCATTCGGGTCCAGAAGCAGATCAAGAAGACATTTTGAAGGCCAAAATGGTACAGACTCATCTGAACAGATGCACGGAAGCCAAAAGATTGCGAGACTGGAAAACTCTGCTTAAAGAAACGGAGAACACAATAGCTTCAGGCGCTGATGCGGCTCCTCAAGTATATGCATTGCAAGCAGAGGCATTCTTGAAGAGTTTCAGACATCAAGAGGCTGATGATGCTTTGTCTAGATGTCCGGTTTTCGATGTGGAAATGAGCACAAAATACTACGGACCTATCGGTTATGCCAGTTTCTTGGTCGTCTGGGCTCAGGTTCACATGTCATCCGGCAGGTTTGTTCTCTGTAATACTCTAGTCAGAGCCGGTAGATTATAGGTAAACATAGTAATGATTTTAATTAAAAAATAAACAATTTTGGGAAATTTATGTTTATGTAATTTATCTCTTTAAAATTTGGAAGTCATACACCAATATTTCCTTTACCTATTCCAAGGACCAGTTCTGATTCTAATCTTTTTTGTTTTTACTAAATTGTTCATGCGTATCACAACAGATTCGGAGAAGCAGTTGAGGCGATTCAACGAGCTAACAAGCTGGACAGGAACAACAGGGAAGTAAGCATGGTTCTCCGGCGTGTGCAGGCGGTTACAGCAGCACGATCAAAAGGCAATGATTTCTTTAAAGCTGGACGGTTTCAAGAAGCTAGTGCAGCTTATGGTGAAGGATTAGACCATGACTCAAGAAACTCAGTCTTGCTATGTAACAGAGCGGCTTGTCTATCTAAAATGGGACAGTTCCATAGAGCCGTTGAGGATTCCACGGCTGCACTCACCGTCCGTCCTGCCTATGCCAAGGCTCGACTGAGAAGAGCCGACTGTAACACTAAGGTATGTAGTATGTGTTGGCGTAATTTTGTGTTGGGTTTCAGGCCGGTTATGGACAGAGTCAGATGAAACATTCCACTTAACCATTAAATGTTAAATACCTAATCATACATACATGAAATGTTTTATATTATTAAGATTAACTTAAAAATGTTTTGGCCCTCTAAATCTTAAATTCAACCATGTTTGTTTTCTGCAATCATAATGGTATTAATATTAATGTTTCTTTTTTTGTGGTTGCAGCTTGGGAATTGGGAAGCAGCTATTGGAGACTACGAGATATTGAGAAAAGAGACACCTGAAGACGAGGACGTACTCAGAGCTTTGTCGGAGTCTAAGAAGCAGCTAGTGAAACGCCATGAACATGACTCTTGAAATCTCCTGAACAGCCACCATAAGATATTGGTCAGGAAGTTACGAACTGAAAGTCTAGTCTTAATTTTTTTTTTGGCCGGTGACAAATGACAATCTTTAATCAACCAAAAATTATATCTTGGTGTAAATACAAGCAGTTCGAGTATCGTTACATAACAGTCAAGATCAAAGATTCTTAACATTTTACTAAAACATTCATTAGGGATATATATTGCATTTGGAAGTTTGTTGTCTAGAATATTTCGATAATTAATGTGTGTAGATGTTAGGAAAGAACCTGGTGAATCTTGAAGATGATGGTCTCCCTCCTTTAAAGAGGAACCTGATGAACCATATTAAATTGGAAGACATTGAGGAAGATGAGACAACAGCGAGGATCGTCTTTGAAAGGGGTTCTACACTAGAGCAGTGCTGTTGAATTTTTATAGGATTCTTGTGGTCACAACCTTGCGAGCATTATTGTTTACATAATCGATAAAAAATATATATATGATGCATTTATGCATAAAAAATGTTTTCCAAACATCATTGTTATTAGAATTAACAAACAAAATAATCTTTTTAAACACTTTTTCATGTATTCCATAAATTCATGACTAGAATTCAAAAATCAATATTTAAAATTTTCTTTTTCAATAGATTAGATAAATAAGCCATTTATTTTTCTTGTGATATACTTGAATGCGTATAAATTTTTATTGATTTCAATTTTGAAAATTTCTTTCCAACAAATGCAATTGGAACCAACATTTTTCTATCCATATATAAGATTATGATCATTATTCACCATTAGATAAACCATATAAAATTATTAAAGTAAATAAAACTAAATAATAAAACAACTAGAAATATGTTAGTTTAATGACTGGTGAGAAAAAAGTGAGTGAAAAGTTTTGTCAATATAAATATTCAATTTCTGATGGTGATCCTAATAGAGAATGATATTAAGTCAGACAATACTGTTATATTCTTTTGCTGCCTTAACTTGTTTTTTGGTTAAGATTAACAAATTGTAAACTAATAATGGACTAACAAACTTTTTTCCAGTTATGGCCTATATTTGACATTTTAGCATCGTAAATTTAAATTCATACTAGATTTTGACCCGCCCTTTAAAAGGGCGGGATATTTTTTGTTTTACTTTTCTTCCAAAAAATTGAATTTTTATATTTATGATTTTCTTTGTAATCATATTTTTGTTTAATATTAATTTAATTTAATATAAATTTTGGTCATTATATTAAATATGTTAAGTTGCAGAACTATAGAGTTGTGTCATATGCATATCATAAAATATTTTCACTTTATTTCTAAAGTTTCTAACATATTATATTTTCTTATTAGTTACCTAACATAATTAGTTAAGAATATTCCGTATCCAAAAAATTCGATTTGAAATCGACTCAAAAATAAAAATTTCATACTCTATTACACCTAGCGTATATACTCGAACGGTTCTTAAAGTTTATATCACACAATCAATAACAAATTCAAGCAGTACTGAAAACCGAAGAAGTTTTTTTGAAAAAAATAAGAAAAATCTTTTTAGTATTGATATAGTGTGGTCAAACTATATTAAATACATTAGTACAATTATTAAAATCTCTTGTTAATCATTTAAGAAAAATATTATACATTTTTTTATAAATAGTACCGTTGGTCTCTTCGTAAGTATATTATTTTTCTAAATAATACTTCCATAATAATATCAACTTAAATAGTTTTACTTCCCAAATACACTTTGTTGTTTGTTATAGTATTCATAGATGGTGCTTGCTTTTCAAATTTCTTATTTTAACATGTACTAGATCTTGACCCGCACAACCGTGCGGGTTTTTTTATCCATTTATAATTTATAAAATTTAGCAATAAAATAATAATATATTTATTTATTAAATTTTGCAAAATACGAAAGTAATAAAATAATAATTATCAATTTTCATTTATAAATAAAATAATAATTTTTAGTGATATTTTATGATAATTAGAATTTAAATTCAATGATTTAAGGAAATACAATTTAAAAAGATGTCAAAAAGATTTTGTTGGATTTATTTCATTTCTATTTTAAATAGAAAGATAAAGATACTTAAAGATATTATCATTAGATTTGTAACATTTGATAATCTCTCTAAGGAATAGTCCATTTTTAAAAAAATCACACATGAATCAAGATTGTGACTTCCGTTTTAATATATAAGATATATATTTTTTTAGCATGCATAATACGCACTATATAGTATAGCCTTTCAAAGATAATCATGATGTGTCGCTGGTTAAATAAGTTATAGTAGTCTGTTAGTATATTGACCATATAATTAGATACCAAATAGGAGTTCCATATTTGTTGTTTGTTGCCTATAAAATAGGAGTTTAAGTAATTATGGAAGGTGGTTACATTCTTTTAGATGCGGTTATATTTTATGTTATACAATTATATTTTTGATGTAGTTAAATTTTTAAGTTGGACACAATCTTTTATCAATTGGTCATGCTGCTAAATTAATAGAATAGATATATATATTTTTATTAGTTAAATTAGTAATTAATTAAATACATGTTATTGAATATTATTTTTCAACTTTACCAAAAAGGTGTTATTTTTTAAAGTGACCCTAGACCAATGTTTCTTTTGCATAAAAGAAAGTACAGCTCTGATTGTATAAACCTTGAAGTACTGTATGTTTTTATTAATAAAAGAACTAGATTTCGACCCGCACAACCGTGCGGTATTTTAATACGAAAATATTTGAAATTATATAATAAAATTTATCAATAAATAAATATAATTTGATTATTTATGCTATCCAATTTATAATCATTTTTATGTAACTTATAATATTATTAATATAAAATTTATAAATTTGTATTTTTGTAATAATTTAATTATTATGTAAGATTACTAATTTATATATTTTGTTTTATTTCTAAATTTAAAATCTATGTAAAAATTAATTAAGTTGGACCTACATAATACATAAACAAATTTTTGTGATATTGTTAAAAGTATTTTACATAATTTCATTTTTTTGTTTATAAATTAAAAATGAATTAAAATTTTAATTATACTTTATGATATTAAGATTTTAATCAAATAATTTTTGAAACTATATCTTGAAAAAGATTCTAAAAGATTTTGTTAGAATTTTCTTAAAACTATTTATTTGTATTTCAAACAAAAAATTAAAGATATGAAAATATATTATAATGTTATGTAAAATTTTATAAAACTCTAAAGATGGTCCAAACTAAAATATCACACATGAAGTGAGTCATGACTTCTCTTTTAATATAATAGATCTTCTACCCCCAGTCTCAGTCTTAAATTTAAACATTTTAAAACTAAAAAAAAACTAGGTAAAAGAAAAAAATTTAAACCTGAAAGCGAAAATAAAATAAAATAGGAGAAACAAAAGAAACACAACTTTCCTCTCTTCTTCGCGTCAAAACGTTGTCGTTTCGGTCACCCTCTATTCCTAATCTGCTTCCCCCCGCATGACTGTTCTTAGGGTTTCTCCGTTCTCCCTCCACCGCACAACCCTCCCAGCTCCGCCGCGTTCTCCTCTCTCCCTCCCACCTCCCCAGCTCTAACCAAATCCGTCTCCCATCCAATTTAGCTTCTCCTTCCCCCCAAAATCTCTCCAATTTTTGGCGATAATCTCCACCAGATGAGTACTGTATTCAGTGAAGAGATCCTAATCGATAAGCTCGCGAAGCTCAACAGCACTCAACAGTCCATCGAAAGTATCCTTAAAGTTGTCGACTTTATTAGTTTTTGCTATCTTTAATGTTAAAGTTTCGATTTTTTTGGTTATTCTTTGACTCTTTTTGGGGGTTTTTATTAGCTCTGTCGCATTGGTGTATATTCAATCGAGTCAAGGCTGAATTGATAGTGACGACATGGGAGAAGCAGTTTCACAGTACGGAGATGGCGCAGAAAGTGCCTCTTTTGTATTTGGCTAATGATATTCTTCAGAACAGTAAGCGTGAGGGTAATGAGTTTGTGAAGGAGTTTTGGAATGTGCTTCCTAAGGCTGTTAAAGATATTGTTTCTCAGGGAGATGATCATGGCAAAGGCGTTGTCTCGCGTTTGGTAAATACTCTCTTTGTTACTTTGTTTTGTCAGTTTTGGTGTTAGAAGCGATTAAGTGTTTGGGGACAGAACATGTTTTGTGAATAGTTTGATGTTAGCATTTTGGTTTAGAGAAAGAAGTTTTTTGCGAGGATGTAGTTTTGACCATCTAGAAATGAGTATGTTATGTGTGATTTGCGAATAGGTTACAGTATCAGTATTTGTTTATTTTCTTTAGGTATGTTTACTGTCTTGTCTGGGATATTGTGATGTTTGGTGTTAGGATGAATTTATTTAAGGATATTGTTACTTTGTTTGTTGGTGTTGCAATTGGCGTTAGAAGCTATTAAGTGATTGGGGGAGAACACATGTTTTTGTGAGTAGTTTGATGTCAGCATTGGCTTTTCCTTAGCACAAGATGTTTCCTTAATTATGTTTATGCACAGTATAAAGTTTAGAGACTAGAACTTGTTTGCGAGTATATGGTTTTTTTTACCCTCTAGGAATGTGTATGTTACTTTGTATTATCAGTGTGCTTGTTTGGTTTGCGGATAGGATAGAATATCAGCATTTGTTTCTTTTCTTAAGTATTTTTATGTCTCATCTGTATACTGTGATGATTGATGTTAGGATGAAGTTATTTAAGGTTCTTGAGAATCTTTTCTGTTTGGGTTTGGTATTACATGGTTGTGTAGTAAGATGAAACATGAATAAATAAGTATTCTGTTTACTTGGCATTGTAGGTCAAGATATGGGAAGAAAGAAAAGTGTTTGGGTCCCGTTCGAAGAATCTTAGAGACGTGATGCTTGGAGAAGATTGCCCTCTTCCACTTGATGTCAGCAAGAAACGTCCCCGTGGATCCAAATCCTCAAAACGTGAATCAAAGTCGTCCAGAACGGTAAAACACCGAGATTTCCTTTTTCCTTCATTGGTATCAGTCAAATTTCATTAGAGTTCTTTGTTTCTGTTTTTTCTTTTTTGGTTTTGCTTTCATAAGCAGAAAGTATCAAGTGGAGGTGTGGCGGAGAAGATAGCATCAGCATATCATTTGGTTGTTGCTGAAAACTCAAATGAAGAAGCTGAGATGAGTAAATGCAAGTCTGCAGTTAAACGTATCAGGAAGATGGAGAAAGATGTTGAAGAAGCCTGCTCTACTGGTAACAATCCGTTTCACTAATCACCAACCACCTGCGCTTGTTTTATGTTTCTCTCTAAAGTCATATGTTTATGTCTCTCCAGTGAAAGACAACCCGAAGAGAAAATCACTGGCGAAAGAATTGGAGGAGGAAGAATACCTTTTGAGACAATGTATTGAGAAGCTTAAATCTGTTCAAGGAAGTAGAACTTCTCTTGTAAACCAGCTTAAAGACGCTCTTCGCGAACAGGTAATATTGATTTTCTCACTTTGGGGATTTCATTATTTTGTGATCCATCTTTCATTCTTTTGCTTGCTTGTGTCAGGAATCTGAACTGGAGAATCTTGAAGCTCAGATTCAGGTATGTGTATGATCTCCCACTGAATCTTTCACCTCGTTTGTGTTCCACCTGAGCTTTACGCTCATGAACTATTCTTTGTTATTATCAGGTTGCACAAGAACAAACAGAGGAAGCTCAAAAAATGCAGAAACGGCTCAACGATGAGGACTATGTATCAAACCCAACAACCGTTGCTGCTCCGGGCTCAGTCTCTGCTACCACGATAACCGAGACAACTGAAAACAACGGCGCCAAGTCTGGTCAAGCATCAAAAATGACGCCTGCTTCTATAGCTGCGATGCTCACAGCATCCACCTCATCACACATGATAATGCAATCTGTTCTATCTTCATTCGCAGCTGAAGCAACAAAGACTTCTGGTCTATCCAAATCAGAGAGCACAGTTCCGGTTTCAGACACCAATGCTTTTGTCCCTCCTTACAACAACCCCCAGAACCAGACACCCGCAACACAAAGTCAGTACCATTTGATCTCTAATCCAGCACCACCACCACCACCACAGTTTCTAAAACAGCCGGTAATGAACAATCCTTATGGCTTTGGTAACATCCCGTTAATGCCACCTGGACTTCCGCCTCCTCCACCACCACCACATATGATAAGTAATCAACAGCCTCAGATTCCTCAGTCAAACTCATCTCAACAACAACAACAAACTCAACAAGGTTCAACTTTCCAGCCACCGGGGATAATGTATTATGGAGCTCCACACCATTCTTAAAAGTTAGAAGTGATGTTAGTCGATATAGCTTTTAGATAGCTGTGACCCTTATCTATCTGCGGATATGTTGGTTTTGATTATACATTGTTGGGTCGAGTTAATGCGGAAAAAATATTCCTCGTGTTGTAGAAACGTTCACCTTTCCCCTTATAAATATTTGTACCACAGGCTTTTTCTTACCGTGTTCTTTGTGTTCGTTGTTACCACTATTAGCAGGTTGTTGTTTTTTTAATGTTGCGTGATGACATTGAGGTTGCAGGTTGCTGCGACATGCAAATGAACATGACTAACATGATGTGATAACTATCCCTACTCAAGCAGGACATTATCAGACTCTGAACAAGCTTTTACATGATTAACCTTCTTCATTAAAGACTTCTTCTGGAGAAAATCTTTGTACCAAATGGGCATATGGTACATAATTGCCATGAAGGTCGAGTATCTGCCTGAAGAGAACCAAGCGGGTGGGTTCTTCTTTAGCACAGCAGCAACAGTGTCTTTGGCGAATGTTTCTGTAGGAGTTGGCTTCCTCCTCTGGAAAAAGAAGGCCCTCTCTATGATAGCTTCTTCGTAAGGCTTGTATAGTCTCAGCTCTGGCATTTTCTTGAAGACTGCTACAGCTGAGTTTGCTAAGTTTGATCTTATTCCTCCTGGGACGACATCGATGACATCAATGCCAAAGGGCTCTAGCTCCAACCTGCGGTTAGCGAAGGAAATACCATTACAAATAGTGGCTTTTGACAATAAGTCAAAAGACAATGGTCTCAGACTCTGAACCTGAGGGAATCGGTAAGAGCGTGAATAGCAGCTTTGGTTCCTGTGTAGACACCTGCCCATGGACTTGGTGACATCACAGAAACACTTCCAACGTTGACAATCTTTCCCTTTTTCTTACACACCATGTGAGGTACAACAGCTTGCGTCATCCTCAGGGTACCTGCATGCCCGTATATTCTCACTTCTTAAAATGTTCTCCTAACTCAGGGGTGATTGATTGTTGTAGTTTGTAGATGTTTTGGACGACCACTTTTGTTTTTCTAGAGCATTTTTTAAAAAACAATCAAGTTTTATTTAAAAAAAAAAAAAAATTACAGCAAAAAAAAACTTAGAAAATGAAAGGTTTTAGTCTTCAAAATTAATTTTCTATAACTTTTACGTAGTGTTATGAAAATAAATCTATAATATAATAATCAAAGCCAAAACAAGAAAATTCAGTCTATTTTTTAAAGCAAAAAAACTAAAGGTACAACACTAACCAATCAATTCCTCATTAACATGAAAGGTCTTCAAATTTTGGGAACTATAGACAATTTAGTAAGTTTTTTTATAATTTCTTTTTAATAAATTTGGAGGTCTAATATATATATATTTATGTAATTATTTCCTAAAATTTTGGGGGTCACGAAATGGCTATCAAAAACAAGAACAACATTTTTTTTTTTTTTTACCGAAAACATTGGTGTCGAATGTGTTTTCCATGGCGGAGATTGGTATCTCAGCAAGAGGACCAACGCACTGAATGCCTGCGTTGTTGACAAGAACATCTATTTGACCGAACTTATCTATAACATTCGACAAAACTTTGTTCACGCTCTGTTCCGACCGAACATCAAGCTCCTGCACGAACAACCTCGGATCCTGCTCAAGATCCGTCATCTTACTCCGTGATCTGCTCGTCGCCACCACACGACAACCATTCTCAGCGAACTCACGCGCAAGCGCGTGACCAATCCCGCCATGAGAGCATCCCGTGACCAGAACCACCGGGCCAGCGTTGGCGCTTTCCATGCGGAGCCCTCTAGATTGAGCAACAATGGACTACAATGTTTGATGTTTTTACGTCAATGCATGTCTGATTTAAAACTACTAATGCATGGATTTTTGACAAAGCTTAACTGAAAATAAATTTAAAGTGAAAAGAGTCGAGTGATTTAAATACCACTTTGCGAGGATTAGGACGAGGAGCTAATTGTTGTCTTGTCACAACGTTTCTTTTGTTCAGTCCGAGGAACAAACCTAGTTGAGTTGCCATTTTTTTTTCCTACGATAGTTTCAAAAGATTCACAGAAGAAGTTTCGGATCCTAAGATACACAATATATCAGTTTTGAAGCCCTAGAGAGTGTTTATATATACACATTCATAAGGTTACCTTCACTATGTTGATTGATTAGTCACTTTATTTTATTTTTGTCGGCAGCTACCAATCGCCATTTTTAAAATAAGAAAAAAAATCAGAACAGTGAATTCAAATGATTTTATATCTTACCATTGTGGGTTTTTCAATAAAGAATGCCTGACACTTTTTGGAATTTTGCTAACCAACACTTATGTGGGGTGTGTTTTGAGCATCATTAGGGATATATTCATATTTGTGGTAAGATGTACTCGGTGTGCATCTCCAACCATAGTACCAAATGTGGTGTTAAAATTACATCAAATTTGGTGTATTGGTGTTAAACTTTTTTTTCATCTCCAATCATAACACCAAATTCTACACCAAAATAATATTATATTATTAATTTGATTAGTCAATACATTTTTTTATATTAACTAATTATATTTAGCAAATTTAGTTTTTATATCTATTTATTAAAATTGAGTAAATTCATCTTTATGTTTATTTATATATTTTATTTTTTCTTTTAGTTAATTTGTATACTTATTTATTTATTCTATAAAAATATTTTTCAAAATTAAAATTTACATATTTAAAATGATTTTTCATAATTTAATGTAATTGATAATACTCATTTAATTATATTATTAATTAAAAGTTAAATAGAATAATAAATTAAAGCTTTAGTAATGTGAAAATACAAATAGAAAATAGAAATAATATGATATATTTATTTTGACCGTAAGTTATAACTAATTATAAAATTAATCTATTTATAATTAAATAAAATATAATAAAATATATTATTTTAATATTTGGTGATGAATAGTGTTATACTAAATTTGGTGTAACACTATTTACTCTACACCAAATTTGGTGGGATGGTGTAGTTTTTAATATCTCATTGGAGATAAAATTACACCAAATTTGATGTTTTGGTGTTCCTTTTAAGTTGGCCACATAAAGGAGGATTGGTGGGAAAGTGATTTATGTAGATTTTGTGGAAGTTGACACATTTTGAAAGAATCACGTGTATTCATATTTATAGACTCCATACAACTTATATAGATCATGAAAATCATTTTTCACAGAGTCATTAATTTCTAACATTATTTATGTAAACTAATTATGTAAGAATTTTTTTCTAGAAAAGTTTCATATAAATAGTATGTGAATGCTGTGTTGTAATGTATAGGAGAACGTAAGAATGAGATATGTCAACAAAATAATTTCTATGGTGTTAGCTTTTAAATATGACAAGTTACATGTAATGATATAATCATGATTTTGTAACCTGAAAATGACAGAATTACGTTTGCAACATGTAAGTATCATGGGTAGACTATCTATTTAGCCACGAGAACTATCATATAACATCAGATCTCCACCGAACTATGATCTCATACTAGATCCCCACAAATTGAAAATTGCAAACATATTAATCCCCGAATCAATACTTCAAAACTTAATTACACACATATAATGGTTTTAATTGGTTTATTCCTAACCAAACATCTTAAAGTCAGTTGAATTCAATTTTTGTATAAGTTTTAATCACTTTCTAGTGGTGATATATTTTGTTTATTTTAATGGGTTTATTTTACATTCTTATGTAAACATTTTAATGGGTTTATTTTACAACAGAATAAGATTATGTTTTATTTATTAGAAAATAAAATATATCACCATTAGAAAGTGATTAAAAATTATACAAAAGTTGAATTTTTGGTTTGATTTAACTGACTTTAAGATGTTTGGTTAGGAATATACCAATTCAAACATCGTATATGTGTAATTAAGTTTTGAAGTATTGATTCGGGAAGAACTAAGTTTGCAATTTTCAATTCGTGGGGATCTAGCATGAGGTCATAGTTCAGTGGAGATCTGATGCTATATGATAGTTCTCATGGGTAAATAGATCGTCTACCCTAATATCTTCGTTCAATCTTTTCTCTTATATAACTAAACATTTATTGAGTTAAAAAAAAACTAAACATTTATTTATTGTCATGATACCTAAATATATGTTTATTCATCAACACAGATATGCTTAACAATATAACATATTTCTTGCGTTGAAAGAAATGAAAAATATTCGTAAAACATGTCTAGTTGACAAAAAAAAAATATTGTTTTGTTATCCAGACTTTTAAAATACATAGTGTAGCTTTAGTATTTTAAGGGGGGATTATTGGGAGAGTAATTTTTAAAAATTTGATGGATTTAAAGATTCCATGGTTATTGGTTTAATGATTGTTGAAGTCTTAATCAAATCATGATTTATGATTTAAAATGCAAAGAATCATTGTTTCAATAACACAAGAGTTTAATAAAATTGAAAAATCTAAAAATACTCAACTTTTTGAATAACAAAAGATTCTAAAATGACTTACAAAATCATTGCACCAATAACTAAGGATTTATGGAGAATTATAAAATCATCACACCAATAACATAAGATTTGATTAAAACTCTAAGATTCAATACACCAGTAACAATAGTTTATATATTTTTTGAATCTTTAAAAATCAATCTCCCACTAACCTCCCCAATATTTTTTGTGGGAATTTCACTTTTACTCATGTTTATCTCTTATAAATTGACATTTTTCAAAAATACCTAACAGTAAAATTAAATAAAAAGATAAAAGATATTTTTACTTTTGGGATATAAATATATAATTATAAATAATTATTTAAATAAATAATTTAAAACAAAAAAAGAATTGTTATAGTTTTTGAATTATATCTTTTTCAAATTCATACATTTTTAAAATTTTATTTTTACAATTCAATTTTTTTCGAAACTATTTTTAAAATTTTTATTTATATATTTAATAAAATTATAAATTCAACATTTCAAAACTCCACCTCTCAAATCTAGATTAGTTAAATCTAAGGTTATAAATGTCTATTTACCTATTTAAAATCAATATTAAATGTGATTAAATATGTATTACAAAAATGATAGTTTAATCAGTTTCTCATATTTGTTTGAGTATCTCCAATATTTGTCAAATCTTCCTGTGGGGCTTACAAATAATTGTGGGAGTGGGGATTGGACCATTATATATTAGTGATGGTATTCACGTAGTTATTTAATATCTACTAGGTAGTTGCCTGCGATTTTACGGATACAAATAGTTTCTAAAATTTAATATAATATAATGTTTGTTCTATTTGATAAAATATATATTTTTATTTCTTAAAAAATTAAATTTGAAATTTATTCGTTATAATTATTCTAAGTAAATAAATTTATATATTTTGTTTATTTGTATTATTTATTAACTTTTAAAATATGTACTATGTTTTGTAGTATTTTATTAGATTTTTGCCAATAACTATACTAAAAATAATTAATTATGATCCAAATGTCATTGCCAAATAACTAATGTATGCAGTTTTGATTTCGAAAATTTATTAAATTAATATTTCATTATCTTTATACATCCAGTAATATTTTCTAAAAAAATATATACACGATAGAATCTAAAGATGTGATATACATGATAATAATTTCTGAAATCATAAAAATTTCATCGCCTAATATGCTTAGATTAATTCACTATGTTAATTATTTAATATCAAACATGTAAAATTTTGATATAAATAAACAACAAGTCTGGGTAGTAGAAAGTTTATATACATTTTGAACAACTTTTAACTAATTGATTTGGATAATGAAAATAGTTAGACACACCACATATATATAATTAATGTGGTTTGTAAATAAAGTCGAAATGATTATTCATATTTTTTTAACATTAATCTATAATATACACAAATAACAAAAACTATTAGATATTTATTTTATTTTACTTTTGTAGTTATCTAGATAATATGTAAACGAATTGTTTTTTTAAAAAAAAAAAAAAAATTTTAAAATATGTATAAAATATTTTATCCATTTTTTATAATCGACATAGCTCTTGTTGATGAAAATGTAATTTCAATTTGTTTTTTTGATATCTAAAATTAGCTTAACACTTTCTTGCAATTAAATTATATATACATATTTTTGCATATCATTATGTATATAATACACAACTAATGAAAATTACTAATTACTAACTTTGAATTTAAAAATTATCTATATAACATACAAGGATATTTTAAAATCTATATTTTATTAATAAATTCATTTAAAATATGAAACAATTTACCTTATTTTACTGTAAATACTGAATTAATAGATATGTTAATGAAAAATCATAAATATGGTTGTTATCTAAAATTAATTTTATGTTTACTTTAAATTATACTATATATAATTTTGTATATTATTATCTGTATAATACATGAAACTAATAAAATTAAAAACCACTAGTTTTATTTTTATTATTATCTAGAAAATATGCAAGTGAAAGATTTTAAATCTGTCTTTTTTTGTAAAACATTTATTTTATTAAATGTACAATATTATTTATGACATAAATCCGAGCATTATTGCCACAATTTTTCTTAAATACATATTTGTGATAACCATTATTGGTAAGTTCATTTGTTTGGTTTTTGATTTAAGTTAGTTCTTGATTTTTATTATACTGAATTATATAAAATAAAAATAAAAATCCATCAACCAATCAAATTAAAAATATTAATTAGAAAGTTATCCTATAAATGAGACATAAGCAAGAATCACTAAATTTATTTCTAAATTAATATATAGGAAAATAAAAGAATATATAATTATATGGATATTTTAACTAATTAAGAATTTATGACTTCAGTGCACACAACAAAGTAAAATATGTTACTGTGAAGAGTGTTTAAAGTTATTGGGCCCTGATTTTATCTCCAGTTTATATAATTGGATCCTAATATTATTCTCCGGTTTCAGATATAAGCCTGATATTAATATTAACCAGGCCCCCATCTATAGAAATAAATTGTATTTTAGTTTGAAAATATTCAGCTTATTCAATAAATCATAAAGATAAAACAAAAAGTAACAGAAGATAAATAAAATGTAGTGAAAG